GTATAGCCCGCAATATGCTTTCCTTCTTCTCTGTCTTCAAATACATAAAGCCAATGATCTGATCTTTATTTTGGAGGTCATGGGTCATTTAAACCATATACCTACCTTGCCTTACAGTTAGTCCTCTGTATTCTTCAGGAGAGTTTAGGTAAATGGAATGCTACAGTCCTCTCCCATGTCCTAGCCACGTCCAATTCTGTAAGGATGTAAGGATTTGGGGTAAAGAATGCCTTTCGATCTTTAACAGCTGCTCCTCTTTTTGTGCACGCTTTACGGACTTGCTGAACGCTTCCCTGCATGTTTCTCAACTTCACTTTCTACTCCTCTTTATTTTGTGATCTAGATTCACTCTTACCAGTTTTGTTACAAAATAAATAGAACTCTTAACTGCCAAAACCACTAGAATTTATTTTTTTTCTTTTACTTTGGACATGAAGAGCTGCTTTCTGCTTATTATAGCTAAATAAACATTTTCTGTTTCTTTCTGGAGCAATAGATCAAGTAGACAGGAAAATGCAGTGACAGACTTTCATAAGTCTCATTATTACCATAATTACAACTAAGTTATTGGTTTCCTATAAAGTTGAGAAGTTTATATTTTAAAATGCCTTCTCCAGGGAAAGATTTTGACAATCTTTATGAAAAAAAGAAAAATTTTAGAGAGCAGTAAAAAATACGGGCAGCTTACCCCAAGATAGCTTTACAGTCTCTCTTCTGCGAAGACAATCACACTTAAAAGGCAGCTATTCTAAGTATTCTAAAGTCCATGTGTAAATTCATTCTATCTTGAAAATGACTCTGCCTGAAGCTGTATCAAATCAGGCATCATTGCTGTAAATGATTCCTATAGTACTAAAGAAAAAAGCCTCTGTTTTCAAAATCACTTTATTATGGTACTTTTCACTGTGATTTTGGGTGGGAAGTGTGTTTATCGCTTTAGTCTAACCAAACTAACTTTAGCTGTTTGAGATAACAGCATCTCTGTTATGATGCAGTAACTCGTGCTCTTTTTTAGGAAAGCAATACTACGTGAATTCTGGAGTTTAGAGTTCACTGTTCTAAATTGGGTAAAGCATGGTTGATGAATTAAAGTGACTGAAGTATGGTATGCACAGCAAGACTGCAATATTTCAAAGGCATGTTGGCAGATTTTCTGTTGTCATTGGAGGTGGCTTGCTCATCCTGAAGTCTTTGAACTTGAGTTGCAACCTCATGCTGTGAGTTCAGTTATCATTAGCAGTTTATCAAAAGAAAATATGTTGGTATCTATCCTGTTACCTGGCCTTGCAGTGCACAGAGTTTATTCTCAACTTTTTATGTGGGATAAAAATGGTACTTTAGCAGGAATATCTTAAAATGCTCATAATGCCAACTTGAATTTTGTTCTAGAAATATCGTCAGGGATATTAGCATTCATTAGGTGGAGAGACTAGGAGTCTGGGGGTTTTTTTGTTAGTAAGAAATTAAGTATACCATGCTCTTAATTCTACCATTTAAGAAACAGTTAAGTGTGACAAAAGTAGGTGAAGTGTGCTGGTAAAACAGGTCTTTGCATATAGCTTATTCATGTCATGCTAAATTTTTACTTTGTTTGCAGCTAGGGATTACATGATTTTGGAAGAGTAAGAAGGCACTGAAAGAGGGCCAAGGGCTGAAATTTAACAAGTTACTTATGTGACCTTCTCTTCTAATGTACGACTCTTCATGTCGTACTGGCACATCTGTCATGAGACCAATATATGCATTAAAAATAATGTTTTGTTCTTCGAAGTTATAATTCAAACACTAGATTCTGAAAGCCTAGTTAAATATGTTTTTGACAAAAAGCCGAGGTGTTCATTAAAAATTATAGGCTTTTTTTTTTTAAAGTGGTCCCCAAGTTGTTCTCTGGAGTACAGAAGCAGTAAAGAAAATGAGAAAAATGAGGAAAGAGAATTGTACGTTTTCCCTTTCAGTGACACATGTGAAAGGAAAGGGTGAAGGTGGCACTTGTTTCTGGGAGGAATGGCTACAGAATCATTATTTAAGAGAAAGGGAAGGTATAAGACATGAAGCTTCTGCTTAAGAGGATTGACTCCCCTACTGTCTCTGCTTCAGAAAGCCGATGTCCTGTACATTTTTAAACAGTTTATAAATCCTTGTCCTTTGCCATCAGTTTCCAATTCAAACAGAAGATTGGCCCACAACTTCTCCACAGATTACTCTTGCTTAGCCAGTAAGTATCTGTTACTGCTGTACCCATATTTATAAACTTGCTAATAGTCAGGATCTCTGTCTTACAACCACCAAGTAATTAAACCTGCTAGTAAGTTAATACAAGGCTACTGATCCCTTGCAAGCTCTTTACTTGTCATCTTAGCATGCTATGCAAAAAAAAGGGCAACAAAAACCCCTCCCTACTGACATAATGCTCACCCAACAGTAAATTTTGTCCCTGTTTGCCCCTTCCTTCATGTTGCAAATGTAATGTCCCAAACCCTTGATTGCTTCCTTCCTTTTTGCAGAAACAGATGTCAGTTCAGTGTGGTCCTGCTTTTCATGCAGCTAGAGGAAGCCAAGAATTGAGATGCTATGCTTTTTTTCTTTTCAAGGAAAAGAACAAGAAGCTATTTGGCTTTGCTTATCTGAACAATGTTTCTTGTTTCTTGAATACCTCAAAAGGAATTTTTTGACAGCAGCTTGATCAGCATTCAGATTGTGTCAAATGCTCTGGACCTCCCCATACTTCGTTTCCATCACTCATTAGGCAGTTACAACCACTGTTAAAAAAATTTTTCCTTATGATGTATTTGAGGGTTTTTTTAAGAGTAGTATGTGTCTGTTTTCTTTATGTTATTATAACATATTCAATTGTAATAAAAGTAATGTTTAATGCATACAGTCTTGAGCAATTATTTCAGTATCTAGTTTACTCAGATTTGACATTTTAATGTTATTAAACTCTGGACTTTTATCTAGATTCTATGCGTACTCTGTGTTTTTGCAGAGGATAATCTTGAAGAGTAGACGCACTGAAGACTGAAGCCTTTCAAAGGAAGTAGATCCTAAAATGACAAATTAACTGAATGAATTTGTGTTATTTTCTTGACCCTAAATGTGTATACCTTCTCTTTTGTCTAAAGAAGGAGGTGCACTTATAGCTGAAGGCAGTGGACTTTCAGAATCATTGAAAACAGGGATATTCCTCCTAGATTTTGCTGACAGAGAAATAAATTTGCAGCTGTAAATTGTGGAGCATCTGACTAATCAACTCAAAATATGAGTCAGCAGTGTCATGTTGTAAAGAATCGGATCTGATGCCGGAATATGTTAGCATCATTAACAGTATTAGTGAGACCTTAGTGGGATATTTGAACTAGTTTTTCTTCAGTGTTTTTGAACACTACTATCAAGATTGGAGAAAATCTAGAGTAGAAAATCAAAAATGTAAGTTTGGAAAAATGACCTGCAATGAAATGTTGAAGAAATCGAGGTGATTTAGTCTTTTTAAAATTGCCTTTTAGCGCTGATGTCTGATCCTTGGAGGCTGCAGTTTCCTCTATGTCCCCTTAATTATTTAGTGATATTAGCTCAGGAGGACTCAAGGAAGGACTGGAAATGAAGGATGGAATTTAAAGATGTTTCTGGGATAGTGCTGGAGATAATGGGATGATTGATTAATAGGGTTGTAGAAAAGATGGTAGTAAACTTCAGTTATTGGCAGTGACTGGACTATGGGGACAGTGACCAGATGTTCTTTGTGACTATAACAAGAATAAGGCTGAATTACAAATTTTAAAAGATTTCTCAGTTGTTAATATCGTGAAATCTTGCAGTAGGCCATTGAGTGAGCCAGTGGAATCTGTCTCTTTGGATATTTTGAAAGCAGGCTAAGCAAAATGACTTTTAGTCATTCAATCAAGTATAAATAGACCATCTCAGCTCAGAGACTTGACAGCCCTTTGCTCTGCCATTGTCACAGAGAGACAGTCTGCACAACATTCCCATGCGTACAGTGTTGTTGTTCAACTCCCGTTCTGAAAAGGAAAATGGTTAATGCTGACATAATTTTTCAAGGGAGACCCATGTTCGAAGTTCAGAAAAATAAAACTTATATTGGAAATTTAAAACATGATATGTAACTTTATTATTATGATCAATTTTAGTAAAAGTGGCTATAGCACATTATTTCTTGAAAAACTTTGATTTAATGAATTTTAATTCCTGAAGTATTCTATATAATGCATATATAGTGCTTACATATATTATAAATTATAAAGTTCACTCTCTACATAGTAAGTCTATAAATGGCCAGTCAGAATTTTTTAAGAATAGCAAATACTTCCCTGGTCATTATTTAGTGTATTGTTACAAATCTATTGAAAATTAATCGTACTCATCTAGTTTATTTGTATATGTAAGTTCTATAGCTTACTTGGAATAACATCAACATCCATGACTAACCATCCCATAGTCAGGGTTATTTATTGTGCAATCATGCTTTGCACACTGTTTTTGCTAGCCAAAGGACTGTTAAAGTTGAGGAGCAGTTTGGTCAGTTGAATCTTCATATGTTTGAGTTACACTATTTTTAGAAGCAATATACTGTTTTGAAGACGATTGCTCGATTTTTCTGTTGGTTATTCATATTACTTTTAGTTTTGAGTGGATTTTAATGAATTTATTGTAACCAAAGGCACAGTATAAGCCTCAGCAAGTGTACTTCAGCCTGTGTCTGAAGTACTTGTAATGTGTTCAAATCCTATGCTTCGTGTATTCGTATTACTTTATTGTTATCTCATTGTGAATATGCATCATCATGGTGTTTTTGCATGCAGCATACTTCCCATTGAAGTCCTCTATACTTTACACAAACTCTTCAGTGTAATTTTATCTAGCTCAATGGGTACTGTTTCATATGCTTTGAAAAATTAAAAAATGGTAAAACCTAGCACGTCTTAAAAATTTATGTTGAAGTGTGTACATGCAACTCATACTTTTTCATATTGTTTGCTTTTTAGCGAGAGGTTTATGGTGAGGTTAAACAAGAATGGAGGCCCCAGGAATCCTGAGAAGATAGATCGAATGTGTGCACTTTTCACAGTACGTGCCTGTTCCCTTTCTTCTTCCCTTGCAGTAGTAGGATTGTAGATGTAGTCACCCTGAGGGGAAGAGCAATTCTTTCCTTCCTGTATATTGAATAGAAATGGAAGCTGTTTGTAAGTTTTAATATGGTTATAATTAAATATTAACATAAGAAAATGTAAATACTTCTAAGCTATTTTTATGGCTAGGTGAACAATCCAAAGTGCTGCTACTTAACTACAGTTGTTCCTGCTTACAATTTAAAGTTCTGAATATCTCCTTTGCATGTATTATATATACACTTAGATAATAGGGCATAGGGAAAAACTGTGTTGGCTTGAGCATAAAGAATATAAAGTAAGGCATTTCTTTTCAGAATTGACGTTTAAAAAAAAAAAAAGGCACAAAAACCTACTAATAAAACCAGAAAATTCAAAAAAAAATCTCCAAACCTGATTTCTGTCTTGGCCTATTTGAGATTCCAAGTAGCTGGTGCAGCAGTAGCCTCCCAGGTCCACGGTGAGTTGGTGGAGACAGCAGAGTATATGTGATGGAGTAGAAAGCCCAGGAAACGGCCAGGGTGGGCTACGGAGACTTGGTGCGCTTACAAAAATGCTGTAACTACCTAAGTTTCTATAGCAAGAAACTCCTATCCTCACCTCCACCAAGGCAAAGCAGATATGACCAGCTGTATCAGCACTCTTTAACCATGTGTGCAAGCAAGACAGGTTTACTTTCTTTTAATTCTTCAGACTCACCCCACGCCCACCTGCTGCCTTGTTTTAGTTTTTGACTGTACCAAAATAGTAGTTTCGAAAGGTTCAGGCTTTAATGTCTGTTTTGCATTGTTCTTACTCTGTTAAAAATGACCCCCAGACACAGTGTTTTTTTTTTTTCCTATTGCCAGAACCACTATTTCTGCTGTCATTTCTTCTCAGAAAGAATATGAAAACGTAGAGACACTGAAACTTAGAGCTGATCACAGAATAGCTAAAAGGAATTTCAGATCCCAAGCATGATAAGCACCTTCCATCATGGCTGAACTTTATGCTATCTAGCACGTGCACTAGTTCTACAGCTCTTTGGCAAAAATATCTTTGCCTCCAGCAAAGAAACAAATTAGAAGACAACTTTAGGATAAACTATAGTGCTGGCAATTAAGCCCTCTAGAATTGAGCAAGGTTGGACCCTAGATGTGGTTCTCAGAACCATTGCCTTTTCTCATTAAGAAGATATCCAGATTTCTCTTTTTAAGGAACAGAGCGTGTCTAACAGGAGCAAGGATGCTTGATTCTGCCTTCATCTGGATATAAAAGAGATGTAGACCTATCAAAGAGTAACCCTGATGTTTATGCTGACATCAGTAGCAGTACTGGCATTGGCTACTAGCTGATTAAATGTCAGCGGAGGTAACAGTGTCTCAGCGTTGCCATCAGCACAGATAGCTCAGCGACTGGTAACTTGAAACCAAGAGTCTTTCTACTCTGCTAAGTGAAAGATGGCCAGGAAGCAAGTTTCAGCGCTGGTCTCTAGATCATGCAAAACGCTTGAGTGTATGATTAAGAATTGCTCTAATGGTTACTCCCAAAAGCAGCAGGGACTGATTTGTAGCAAGTTGTCTCTTTCTGCCTTCTGAAGTTCAATGTTCTTAAAAGGCTTTTCACCATCAAACTCCCCCGTCTCTCCTGATGCCATATTGCTTAGGGTTATGCAACAAGTATCCTCAGTTTCACACTGCGAAAGTATTGGTCTGGTGACCTGCAAAGCAGTCTTAACATAATTACAAAAGTACAAAAAGAATAATGGCAATGTGTTATGGCCAGGAGGCATAACATGATGCCAGAAGACACCTGCTGCATATTATCAAGGGGGCCAGCCTAGTATAAAAGAGGCCAGCCCTGCATATTGTGGACTTATACCAGTCTAGATCATTTATTCTCAGGATTAGAGAGCACTCCCAAGCTACCTTTTTATTTAACTATGCAAAAATACCCAGAGTTGCCTCAGTGCCACCTCTCAGATATTTACACTTGATCTCTGTCATTGTTCTCTATCACTCTCTATTGTCTGTTAGAACCTATCCTCTACATAACAGGAATTATGATAATTGGGAACCCACTGGAAATATTTTAATAAACTCCCTGAATCCAAATAATGCACAGTTCTGATATAGTATTTTTGATCAGTATAGTCTAAGAACTTTTCAAAGTAGGCAGCAAAGGAGCAACAGTTAGTGGTTTTCTGAGTAATATCTCTATCTCCAAAGGATCTATCCTAATCTAATCGTGATAAGAGATCTGATCTCATAAGAGGGACGTGGCACTACTGGAGAGAGTCTAGCAGAGGGCTATGAAGATGGTTAGAGGACTGGAGCATCTCTCCTGTGAAGGAAGGCTGAGAGAGCTGGGCCTGTTGAGCCTGGAGAAGAGAAGACTGAGAGGCGATCTGATCAATGAGTACAAGTATGTGAAGGGAGGGTGTCGAGAGGATGGGCTGGTCTCTTCTCCGTGGTGCCCAGCGACAGGACAAGAGGCAACGGGCAGAAACTGAACCACAGGAGGTTCCGTCTGAACCTGAGGAAAAACTTCTTGACTGTGAGGGTGACAGAGCACTGGCACAGGTTGCCCCGCGAGGTAGTGGAGTCTCCTTCGCTGGAGATATTCAAAACTTGCCTGGACATGATCCTGTGCAACGTGCTCTAGATGACCCTGCCTGACCAGGGAGGTGTTGGACTAGATGATCTCCAGAGGTCCCTTCCAACCTTGACCATTCTGTGATTAAATTGTACAGAGTAGACCAGAAAGCAGCACTTGAATTTCTGCATAGCCATAACTGTCTAGTGTAAGAAGTTAAGATAAAATTTCATCATGATTCTTCCTGGCAGCATACCTGCAGTTAATAACATGGATGCTAAGAAAGTTCTTTACTCATCTCTCCCCCTCACATAAGACGACAAAATTATGGATGCTAAGTCAGCAATAGGGGCTAATTTCAGTAGCTTTTCATTTTCTAGGAGTTAGCACTGACACAGAAGACTTCCCAAGTAGACATAGACATGCAGTCAAGAGTAGTCTCTGAAAAGTTCTAGCATAGGACAGTATTTTACTGTGAGGAGAATCCTAATTCAGACTAATAATTATCTGAAATGCTACTGGCTGGTTGGTATATTTTTCACTGAGAACATTGATTCCCATGGTGAAATGAAAGATCAGGCAAGCTGCATTCATTACTAATAACGAGGGTTCCATATTGTTCCAAAGACACTTCTCAATACATATATTTCTGACTCACTGGACTGTTGAGTCAAGCAGGCTTTTTAGTTATTCTGAGCATCCTAAAATGCCTTTAAGCTCAAAAGCTAAGCTAAGTTTCCTTTGAGCAGACCGAAAAGGAAAAGTTTCAGAATGACTAGGTGAGACAGCATAAAAATAAAAGTTTATAATGTTTGCTTGTCCATCGTGTTCTTGCAAGGTGCCTCTCTGCTTCCAGGCTTGGTTTCAGTCTGTTCTGGGGCTTCTTGGGTTGCATCAGATTACAGGTCTCCTCTAGGAAATTTCTCTTTGCTGAACCTAAGAGGCCCAGCTGTGTCTGCTTCCTGCTGCTCTTAGCAATCTCTCAGTCTCCTCCTGTGCTGCAGTTTCCCTGCTTTCAGAGGTCTCACTATCTGCCCTGGTTTCTGGATTGTTCTGCCCATCTAATTACTGCCTTTTAAAGGTGTACAATTTGAGAACAGGGAAATAAAACAGATTGTCTATCACAGGGGTTACTGAATATTTGCACATCAGAGAGAGAACCTCTTCTAGCATGGAATGTTAATATTGTGTTTTATAAAACTTACTGAGATCCCCCTGAGCTTTGCTCTTTATGCTTTTTTTCCATTTTACACCCAAGATAGTGTTACAATCAATTTACATTACTTAAAAGGGATAGGGAACCTGAGGTCTTCTGGGTAATTATCCTTATGTAACACATCCATAATAAGGTGGTTCTGTGACTTCGGTGCAAGTTTGTTCCCAAGGTTATATTAGTCTTGTAGTTGAATCAGTTTATTGATTTTCCTTCCCTCCCACACCCCTACGATGTTTCCAAAACTCTAATCCTTCCTAGAGGGAAGAAGCTCTGTATCTTAGATACTTCAAGGTGTCCCTGTCTTTTGTTATGTCTCTGATGCTTCTAAGTGTCAAGCATCTCCTTATGTAAGATATCAAAATTAGTTGTATTTTTGCTTCTGCTGTCATATCACACCAAAAGTGTGAAACCATTTCCTCCAAAGGTAAAAGCTCACTTGACTAGACTTCAGCCTGTGTATGCCTTAGAAGCATTCCTACATCTGAATTAAAATGTAACTACACTGTATGTGTCCACAATTTTGTTAAATACCTTAGTATCTACGGCCTACAAGGTTGGCTACTGAATTTGGTTAAAAAAAAAATTCCCAATTTGGTTAAAATGACTGTTTAATTAGTGGCAGTCAGGTATCCTTAATAATAACACTTTTTTTTTTTTTCTAAACACGGTTAGGTCTTTGTAGAAACCAGCATTGTGAAGAACTAACCATTATTATGAAGTAACTCTCATCTATATGCAATAAAGAAAACTTTTTTGAGGTTGATTTTCTTTAATAAAAAAAGTTATGAAATTAGAATTACTGTGAAATTATTTTGCTTGTCAACCTGTGTCCTTTAAGAAGACCAGGAGCCTGTGGGAACTAACCCCCTGGAGACGCAGTGCTAAGAGCAGAGCTGCAGAAATTGATTCATTTGTGTTGCACACAAGCAAATAATAAACCCAGCGTGGCCTCTTCTGGGTTACAAGTCATGGGCATGGATTCTGTGAAAGAAAATTATGTGAAAGCTTCTTCACAGGGATGGCATTTTTGGGGTTGTTTTGGTCCATGTCATAGTAAGAATTTCTCCCCTTTCAAAAAGCTTCTGCTGCACGTAACAGAATATAACGCCATCTTTGCCCAAACTTTGTGTCTCTTGGCTGTGACACAATATATTTTTTGTGAAATTGAAGAGTGGCTCATGTGTGAACCCACCAACATGTGCATGCTCTACCATTTTCTTATATTTTGACGCCTTTGAAAAATAGTTCTCAAAGATAATGTTGATTAGAAGTGGTAATCTCATGGTATAATATCACTGTCAGTTCGAGTACAGCCTCCCAAGTTTTTTGCTTTTTGAATGCATTGTGAAGCACTACTGAGATTAAAACTACATGAGACCCATTCTTACGGTCGAGCTTCAAATTTATCCAAGACATACAGGATAAAGCCTACCGTATGCTGCACCGGTATGTTAGGCAACAAAGCCTAGAAAGCATATTCCCTCATTCATGCAGCAGTAGAATAAGACTTGAAGAGAAAACACTACAGAGGATTTGTATAGCTTAATTCTTTCCCTGCGAAGAGACATGATCTGCCAGCTAATAAGCATACCAAACAGCATATTTGCAACTCGCTGCATCTGCCACCCAGGGAAACACAGTGCTCCTTTTAAAAGGAGTAACAAGATACAGCCATCAGTTTAACACTTGCCTGCTGTGCTTTAGCCACATAATGCTATTTGAAAGTGGTTTTAAACATCTTAGAGTAAGCTGTCTTTACTTGCAGTTCTCAGTCACTGTGCCCAGATTTCATTTTGCTGTAGTTACGAGTGCCACTATACTCTGAAGTTGGTAATCTCAGTTGTTGAGATTTGATTTCTCAGGTTGCACAGGAAAGTAATTTGCCATGTGGACTATGGTTCAGTTTTACTTTCCAGCAAAATATGATTTTTTTAATTCACCAAATTGGTTAAAACTAAGAATGACAAAATTTTAATGTCCAGAATTAAAGGTTTTTCCCCCTTGACCAAAAATCACATCATTTCCTTTTGTAGTGGCTTTAATGCCACTCAATTGTTTTTTTAAAAAAAGACAAATAGAAGATTTTGTCTGAATGTGTTACTGAGATTTTTCCAAACTTTTCCAAAAAAGAAATGTGGTAGTAAAGAGCAGACTGTGTTTGTACAGAGCCAAATCCACCAGTGTTCCCCTGCCCATGCACAAACATTTTGAAGTGAGCATTACCATTGGGATGGATATCGTTAATCAATTGAAAAGAGAAAGAAAAGTGAAGAAATGTGAAAACACAGCTATCATCTCAAGTTGATTGTAAACTCATGTAAAAGATCCTAAGCTGTTAAAAGCATCCTGTTAAACACCTTGTACAAATATAAAAATACTAATTTGATTTCAGTGGTGTGAGGTGATGTCCACTTCCTCAGCATATGAGAAGGAATTAAGTAAGAAATAACTGAGCTTAAACTCTTCTTGATTCTTCCTCTTTCTATCCCACGCGCATACGCTACACTCTCTCCCCCGATCATATGACAAATTCACTAACCATCCTGAGTTTCCAGTTGACAGTTGCTCTCCTCCTCAGAAATTTCTACAGTAAAGCTCTTTATGGTCTTTGGGGACAATTTGGAGCTTTCCTATGCTACAGAAAGAAGGTGGGGGTGGGAATGTCCTAGAAGTTGCTGTCTGTTTATGATGTTATCAGAACATACCAAGGAAATTCCCAGGTAAGAGAATTTCTAGTGTGCAAATGCAAAATATCTCGCTAATGAATTATTAAGTATGCTATAAATATTTTCTTAATTTATTCTCTTTGCTTTTAAAGGTTTGTCAGGATCAATAAGACTTTTTTTTTGTCTTTGTTAGTTGAACTTTCCTTTTGCTGTTTCGTAGATTCTCCTTTTCCCATTGATTGGCTTTTGTTCAACCTATCAGTCATTTTTTAAAGGTTGAGCTTGCTGTCCTGAGACGTGGAATTTCAGCTAGCTGACCTTGGTGCCAATGGACTGCTCTAGGCAGAGCCTGGAAGTTCCTTGGATGGTTGAGATACTGCCTGGTTGCATTGATAATGTAGTGAACAGATGTCATATGAAACAGGATTCAAGCTGCAGATTTAAAAGCATTAGAATAAGCTATGCCTCTGAGTCTTCCACATTTTTTCCTCTTCATGCTTTTGATAATTTGGAGGAGTTGCAGCCAGGAAGAGGACAGCAGCTATCCACTTATAAAGTGGTAATTGGTTCAAAAAGCACTTGAATTTTTATTGAAATTCTGGTAGTCACGCTGCAAGTTTTTGCTACAGCCATCGCGTTAGACTAAGACTGAGTGGGTAGCTAAAGTGCAGTACAATTCCACAATGGAAAGTCAAATGCCAAAATAGGAAAACAGCAGCAAAGGAACAGGGTTAGGAAGGGCTCTGGGACCCGGGGGAACCTGTGATCAGGGAATGGGAAGAGTGAAGCCAGAATGGATTCCAGCTGAGGTAACCCAGGGATTTAAAGCTACTTTGGTTATGGGAGTCCGATATGTTGGAATTAAGAATTGAATGAACGCTTTAATTATTGGATAGAATTCTGATACAGCATCATTATTCAGGGTGATTAGAATATTTTATTTCTTTTTCTTTCAAAGAATGTTACTACCAAATATAATCCCTCTATACTTTATTTTCTTCATCTGTAAGTTAGAAATAATAATACCTTCTCGAATTTAAAAATTGAAGAGCTAAATGAATGGCGAGTAATACTGGGTAGTCTTTGTAATTATTTATGGCAGTTTTGCAGGCATTTTTATTTTGGAAGTGCAATGCGTTATGTATTTTAATGTCTGTATTCTTTCCAATCTGTTAGGATCTCAGCAGCAAGGACATGAAGAGAGATTTGTACATAGTTGCCCATGTAATTCGAATAGGTATGGTATGATTTACTACATGAAATATATACAAAAATTAAAAATGATTTTAAGGTATTTTTAAATGCATCTTTTCCTGAACTGACTTTCTAATGAGTTTAACCTGTTAGAAGGCTTAGCCATAGACCACGCCTATCTGTTGAGATTAATGTTTAGACCAGCTATAGCTAAATGTACATAAAGATTTGTTTTCTGCTGTATGAGTCTATGTTCCTTCCACGAACCCACGATGGAGTTAGGGAGCTGCTTGTAAAAAATAAAAAAAATAAAAATGAATAGTGGGTAGATAGTCACACCTTTGTCCGGTCTTTATTCTACCTCCTGATGCCAAAAAAAAGAGCATTTTCAGCAGTATCTGGCTGCGAGAAGCTTATCGGGCCTGCAGTAGAGATCTGGACCTCTAGTACCTGGAGCTGGCTCTACCCAAGGAGGAAAGCCCTTCCTTGCTAAACCACTTGAGCGGTCGTCTTTTCTAGAGTGGGTTTCCCTGACTATTCATAGGAGAGGCAAAACTTCATTTACTCTTTTCTCAAATTTGTGGTAGTATCCAGTAATAGAAAATGTTCAAGATATGAGGTTTAGTTTAGAGTATGCCTTACAGAGAACAGTACAGTGCTTTCTTGAGATCATTTATAGAAAGCTAGATGAATTTGTCAGCCCAGCAGTGTGCTTCACTGAAGTGGCTGTGTGACTTCTGCTATGTGAATTAAAAGTTACTAGAAACTCATCTGGACGAGCAGTACTGGATAGAAAAAAATCCTTAGTTAATAAGGAGATAATTAGTTAGTAAGAGGAAGTTAAATGGTTATAGATTATGAATGTATGCTTAGCAAGTAAATATTTTTCCTATGCTAATTATAATTTACTTCAAGTGTTTAGGCCTAAAGTTTTAACATCATATAATAGGAGTAACTGGCAGTCTTTTCAGTTGTCTGAATGTATATTATTCTGCACAGCTTAGCAGTGCAGTGTCTTTCGTGTTTTCCAGGTTTTGAGTTAACTGAAAAATGACTAGGTAGTGTTTGACTATATTTGCAAAGAAATGATATTCAGCCCTATTTCCGATACTTCCACTATTGACGTGTCTTGCCAACCACATATTTTTTTGTGAAATACGGAAGATCTAAATGGCTTAGTGAAACCATGGCTTTAGTATGTTGTCTTGTGAATGATAATAAAACCTTCAAATTCACGAATGTGTCAGAAGGATTGGTTTTTCATTATCAGACTTCACTGTGTCTGTGTATGAAGCACAGATTATTAACCTTGATGCAAGATGTACTGGACAAATTATTATATGTAATGTAACAAATTGGCTAAGATAACCATAGTGATTTTTCTAGTCTTGATATTTTTGACTTAAAGCAAAAATATGTGTAGATAACAGGCACTAATAGAAGGACCACAAGGGATCATTGTGTGAATATAGAGAGGCGAGTACAGCTGGATGTAGTTGTGTGTCATGGGGCTGCAAATCGAAGATGGCCAGACATGATGCCGTTCTGGTTACCCTTGAGGGTTCTGTTAGCTAATGGTGTAGCCCAGTGGGGCAGCTGGGTTCAAACGGACCTCTGAATTTGACCCAATGTAAGAAGGAAAAAGAAGGGAGTTAGAAGTATAGGAAAGACTACATACTGTAGTTGAAACTAACTGTAGGTATATATACTTGGAGAGATAGTAGAACACAATAGATGGGAGTTGCTGTATTTAAATCCCTAATGTTTTGAATTTCTGTTAATTTTAGGCCGCATGTTGCTAAATGATTCAAAAAAAGGACCCCCACATTTACACTATCGCCGCCCCTATGGCTGTGCAGTCTTGAGCATCATGGATGTACTTCAGTCAATCTCTGAACTAAAAGAAGAGAAGGATTTTGTTCTCAAAGTTTACACGTGAGTAACTCCTGAGAAGGAAAGGAATTAGGAAAAACAGTGCGTGTATGTTGGGTACCAAGATACTGAAAAGGTATTAAATACTAAGATGCCATAACCTGTACTTAGTTTTTTTCCTCCTCCCCAGATAAACCAGTGCTATTACCATTGGGTTTTGCTCCTTTATTATTCCAGAAGCTCCTAGAAGCTGATCAAGATTATTATAGCTATTTCAGATATGTGAAATGCTTCAGAAATTATTGAGTGTTGCCCAAATTTGTATGACATACAGAGTAGCAGTTTTTATAAATGTAATTTATTTCGAAGCTGCTAAATTCAAAAGCAAAGAAAAATGCTATATTCCACCTGATGAAGTGAATACAGTCATGAATCATCTCTTAATTCCTTGTGAGTGATGGTGACCAACAAGAGAAATAGAAAACAACTGAAGTCAATATTGGGTGACCAGAAAAAAAACAAAACAAGCTGATGTTTTTGAGCAAGAATCTATCTTCAGTTTATTTTATGATTTTGAACTTTGAACTACCAAATGCTTATTATGAAATGTGGTCTCATAATCACAATAAAGAGACCACAAACAAACTGCCTGAGGAGTGCAGGGAATATTAAATCTGTAAGTGGGGATAAATACTGGCAAGATCTGCTTTGCAGATGGGCTGAGATACAGCTCACCATATATTACTTTACCATCTGTGGCCACTGTCATAGTAATAAGATAATTTAGAGGATTATAGAACTTTGATATTCTGCATGAAGTAGTCAGCAGCAGAAAACTTGCCGTTCAAGGGAAACTATAAATGAAAAAAATGACTTTCAGTCTTCACTGAAATATTCTTGGATGTCTCCTTATGCGTTAGAAATCTGTACGTCCCCCCCCAAAGAAAAGTCTCTCAGAGCCAGCTCCTCCATTCTTCTTTTGCCAACAGTTACAGAAACTGCTGCAAAAATGTCAAGATAAAAGGAAGAAAATGGGCTGCTTTCTTAGCTATGTCAACAGAATATGAATATTCTTGGTATTTTGTCACCGTGCAGTTTCAGCATACCTCAAACCAATGGTTTTTGATTATGTAGCTTATGTTAAGTACATAAGCTTATGTAGTCTTGTGGAAATATCTTTTAACATATTCTAGCTGCAATATTCTGAATGTTTACAGTCAGGTATTGAAATTGGAATGTTCTGAATATCAGATTTTTACTGCTTTCTGTTTTGAATCCCTTTTAATGCATATTTAGCATCTTATTCAGTGAGAAAAGAGAAAGAAAAATATTATATGAAAAATCCTATAAAATATTGGACTTGTCTGTTTGTCAGTGACACTGTGTTAGTTCCTAAAAATATTCCTGTAAGGTTTGCTTCAGGGGCTGACAGATTCAGCATTAGGTTATTATCTCATGAATTCTTCATACTGTTTAGGTTGGTCCCTTGCTGTCTTTCAAGAAAACTTTCACATCTTGGGAGATGTTTATTGTAATTCTAAACGTCCAGAATTTTGATCAGCCTGGTTTATTTTTTAGTGCAAAACTCGGATACTCCATCTAAGTTTTTCTTTTGGCATTAGTAATGACAAATCTAGATACTCTTGAAATTCTTTTCAATATATAAGCTATTGAAAGAAATTCTGTTGTGTTTTTTGCCTCTGTGAATTCCACAGCTTAATTATACATTATGTGGAAAGGCACTTCCCCTTACTGGAACATAATTTCTTCTTCAGTTTCGTTGAATGTCACCTTTGTCTTGCATACGTCCCCAAAATACGGATGCATATGCTGCAGCTGGTTGTTAGAATACATACTCTTTCTGAATCATGATTTTTTTTTCTTTTTTTTCCTCAACTTTCTTGCCTCTCCCTTACATGATAATTGCACTATAAATAACAGGGAAAATTCTGGCTTATCTATGGCAATTTTTGTCTATAAAAGGATTTGTCACCAGTATGGTCTGCCTCTATTATATGCCTGTAGTTCGAGGAACGGTGTGTGCTATAGGTTGCTTAACTTAGCCTGAAGTCATGTAGCCAGTTAAAGCAATCCAAAGTCCTGGTGTTGTAGTCAAAAACCCACAGGACTGAGTGCTTCCCATACCTTCCTCTTAATCTGAAGTGGCCTGTTAATACAGATCCCCTGCAAACCACCCAAAGGACCAACTCTACCTACCTGAACATTTAATTAGGTTTATGCCAGCTGCTGTTTGCTTCTGCTTCCCCACTTTCTTTGTTTTTAACATCCCTGTGCAGCTACTACTGCCTTGTCAGAGAGGAGGTAAAGTCTATAGCAGGAGTCAGTGCTGTAGTCAGACAGAAATCAGCTTTCACCACTGTTACTATTCTCTTAAGTTGCAATGAGTTTTTTTTTTTACATCATCCTTTTATGCCACTGCTGTTTAGAGCATTCTCTGTAAGCCTCCAACAAAAATCTTCAGAAGGGAAAATGGATGTATCTAAAGGGCATGAGCTTATCCCTTTTGCAGCAGTGACCTGTTGCCAACCCAGTGTTGTCACAGAGTTTTTTGCTTGCATCTTCTCTTTGCACATTCTTTTAACCAAGCTACTTTTTCTCGCTTTGTAGACCAAAATTGAAATGTCAAATTTGGGTCCTTTGTAAGTTAAAAATCATATATAAATGCTTAAACAACGCTGACCTGATTTTCCTGCATGCTGCTCATTCTTATTATTGTTAAAATGCCTCTGGTCAACTCAAAAACATCATAAAGATGAAATGAGGAGGAAGGCGTGTCTACATTTTTTAAAGGAGTGGTAAAAAGTATTTTTGAGCTTTCCTTTTGTACACTATCTGGCTAAACCATGCAGCTACCACAAATGAGCCAGTCAGCATACAGCCAGAAATGTTTTTTCACATGGTGAAGCTGGAAAAACCTGTGTGAGACTGCAGGCTTAACGGAGGCTGAAACAAGAACCTGACGTTTCAGTGGCAACTTTTGCTGGTTCCACAAGAGAAAATGTTTATACCCAAAAAAAAAAAAAATCAATTTACTTCCACAGTCTTTCAGAGCTTGCCCTGTTATTGTTAAAGACTTATGTCTGTAAAGGCTTTTTTTCTCACAATCCAGATTTTCCCATTTCTAAATCCTGCAGTCATGTTATAATCTTACTAAGAGGATTTAGTACCACAGCTCTAGTTATAAGCTCATTGCATAAAAGCATGAAGGTTTCCTTTTATAATTCTTTTTAATAGTATACATGTGAAATATTTCAAAAGTGAGATGGAAACTAAAATCTCCATGCGTATATTTTTTCTGGAATTGTTTGAATTTATATTTTCATACGAATTTTTATCTTGAATGGAGTCTTTTACTCATCGCACCTTATTTCTTGTGTTGTTTTTTTCCATTTCCCTAACTTCATGTATCTTTTCCTTATTATCTTTTCCAGTTTTGTTTATCTTTGTATTTTCTCTGAATCCTTTATTTTTTCTCCTTCTCTAGTACTACATCTTAAAATTCCTTCCTTTTAATGTACTATATTGTCTGAATGCCTTTCCTCGTCGAAATTCAGTTGCTGTTTGCCCAGCTGGACAGAACCTACACTGCGTTTCTGTCCCCATCTGTCTTAACATCGGCATCCAATGTAGTATTGCAAACATTGCAAATTGTAAATTCACTCCGGGACCAGTCAACCTGAAAAGCTGATGGATGACTCAGGAGGAAATTCTTACTTAAACTGGTAATATGTGTGATATTTAGACAAGTAAAATGCTAAGAAAACACAATAAAAATGAATTAACGACAGTTGTCTTTGGGCCAGCATTTCAGACTTGGGAGAATATTCTTTGTGTTCAAGAAATGCGAAGTACAGCTTTCGTAGTTGGTGCAAGCTATCTTTACACTCAACTGATTTTGGGACAACTTTGCTCCAGCTTAATTTGCAGGCATAAGTCATAGGAGGCAGAGATCTATTTTAACCTTCACTCCAGAGGCTGGTACAGCAACTGAAAAAGGATCAGAGGTTAGGAATTCTGTAGCCTCAGCTGTGAGACAGAGCATTTGGTATAACATTTGGCCTATTGGTTCTCTTTGTATTTTAATGAGAATATTGTTTGCAGTGGGATAAATGTTCTCTAATGCCTTAGCATGAGAAGAGAAGTAAGCAAGGTGGAGGCAACTTTTTTTTTTCCTCAGGAATAGGCCAAATGTTGATTAAAGTTCTGGGTTAGCACAGAACAGCACAATTATTGTAAGCTTTCTCATACTGTCCATTGACCTCTTAGTCCTGTTTTGCAAAGATTGTCTTTAGAAGTGCAAATGTAGTCAATTTGCCATACTCTTCAGGTCCTGAAGGTCACCTTAGTGCTTAGACATCTTGAATGTTGTCTGAACATCTAATCTCCCCTCTCAGAAAGGATGTAGTAGTTACAGGAGATGTGGAGAAGAGCATCTAAAATGATCAAGGAGAGTGGAGTAGTTGCATCATGAGAGGAGACTAAAAGCACTGGGAGCTTCAGTTTGAAGAGAAGAGTGGTGGGGATATGACAAAGATTTCTAAAATCATGATGGAGAGTAAACTGTTGTTCGCTGAATACACCAGTACAGGAACCAGAGACGCTCAATGAAACTGGTAAGAATTCACATTAAAGCAGACAGAAGAAAGTGCTTCTTTAGAAAGCAGATAGGAAACTTCTGGCATTTACTGTGGAGACAGACAATATGAGCAGGTTCGAAAGGGATTAGACAAATTTATGAACAGTAGATCCTTAAACAGAGAAATAGGAATAGACAGGGATATACACTGCTGGAGGAGTACGAGGAGACCAGACTGCAGAAAGCAGCCAGGCTCGTGTGCCCTGCCAGAGTAGTATCTCCTGCTACCACTGTGGGAGATGCAGTGCTGGGCTAGACAGACCACTGGTGTGACTGAATAGAACCTTTTTTTTTAATGTTCATATGTTGTTAAAATCAGCGGAGACATCTAATGCCTAAACCCATTGTAGTGGAGGGAGGAATGCTGAGACAGGTAGAACTGAGATTTGGGATGGAATAGTCCCAATCAATCACAGTTGATAACCTAGGAATAAAATACAGCCTGGTCAAGCACTTTAAAGTGAATCCTTTTGGATAGCACACTGGGAGGAAATAACTTTATTTTAATGTTATTCTCTATTTTTCCTCTTTTCCTGTTTGTTCATCATGCTTAATATATTCCCAGTTGTCCCTGCTGCTTTTGCTTTTATAATCAATCTTTTGGTGGCACTTGTCAATAAGTTTGCTGTAGCAGGCTCTGTGGGTTATCTCATTATTCTTGACAGTACGTGAGTTTGTAATATTGAAGCTGTGGAAAATGGCCAACTACTACTTTTTCCAGGTTTCCAACTACTTTTTTTGCCAAACTATTCTCCAGTTCCAGACCACAGCAGCCAAAAAATCCCTGATGTTTTTATCCCTAATTTTGCCAACATTATGTACTCTTAGAGGGGAACCAAAAAAAAAAAGGAAAAAATAATATGCTGAGAGGAAGTTTCACAAAAAGACTTCTTTCCTAAGACTCCTATCTCTTTAGGAGCTGAAGACTTCCAGTCTGTAAAGAAATGAATGTAAATTAGAAAGTCAATGGGTCACAAGTTTAATTCAGTCATAAGCAATTGCGCTTCAGGAGAAATAAGATTCACTTTTGCTTTTGAGTTCAAAATTGCTTGTCTTCACAGGTAGTCTTTAAATCTTACATTGGTGCTTTAAATAAACTGGACAGTGATTGAATTTAAAAGACAAATAGAGCTGATCAACATACACTTTTATTATCAGTCAAATACTGGTGAAATTACTATTGCAGCTTGGCATATACTAGTGTAAAGTAATTTATAACAGTTGCAGTGTATCCCTTCAATATACAGGAACAAGCTGTAGCACTGAAGACACCTTCTTCCCAGTATGATTCCATTCAAGCTTAGCGAGTGGGGCAGGTTGTACAGCTTTTAATACACCAATGCGGATAAAGCTGTACAAAGTTAATGTTAAGATAGGTAAAAATCATAAATCAGGTTGGAAGAGACCTCTCTAGTGCAAATGCCTGCTCAGAGCAGGGCCAGCTGTGAGACCAGACCGGGTTGCTCTGGGCTTTATCCAAGCCCAGTTCCCTCAACGGCACGTGCTCCAGCCACCTGCCCATCCGCTGGACTCTCTCCAATTCGTCAATGTCTGTCTTGTATTAGGGACCCCAAAACTAGGCTCCATATTCTAGACACAGTCTAACAACTGCCGAGTAATGTCTTTTCCCATTTGACAGCAGGAACATATAAACAAAATACTAGTTAAATATTGATAAGGAATATCATGTAAGCAGTCATTTACAAAGTAGAGTTCTGAGGACATCTTATTACTTGAGAAAGTTTTCTCTAATGGGTAAAGACTTTGTCTCTTTACTTTGTATAAAGTTTTGGGAAATTCACTAAACCATCATAATGTGGGATAGTTTTCATAGGAACAGGATTTTGGGTAGAAGTTGAAGAATGAAAAAAGACCTGAATAATAACAGACATTTATAAAATACCATACAGTAAGGTAGCTCAATAACTGTTACCTATATATATAGAAGAATTTTTTATTTTCCAAAAGGGTAAGGGTTAGAAAAACACTTCAATCCAGCAGTTGCAAAATCTATACAATGCCTATGCTTTGGTCCCTACTATTGCCTTAATACCGAAGTTTTTTCCTCTTTATATATATAAGAGTTCATCTCTGTCATAAAAAAGAAAAATTCATGAAACTTAAGCTCTGCCTATGCTTCCAAGGGGCCTAATTGTATGGATAGAGTTAGAAGACCTAACAGAACTGATGACACTGAATCCAGTGCTAAACACAGCAGCCATAGTGACTTTCGTTAAAAATGCACCTCTTAAGAGAAATGATTATATGGCTCACTTTTCATGTAATAGCCTAATAATTAGGTCATTTCAGTCTGAAGAGTCTGTATTTTTGACCCCATTCCCTAGATCTTTTTTCCTTTTTTTTCCTTCCTTTTTTTTTTTCTTTCCCTTTCCCCCATCTCATGTCTGTCTCATATACAGTGTATCAATAAAATACTACTTATGACTCCTCCTAGTGGATGCATACTTGTTAAATTAAAAAATTGTTTCCTTAATTAATTTTCTACAGGCACTGTAATTCTTTCATTCTTGACCATCTCGTTTCCAAATACTGCAGTGTCCGTAATTTATCTCTCCGAAGCTTGCCCTCGGAGTAATGTTAATGTCTATATAGTGATAGATACAATGCTTTATAGAGTATTTTTCTAAATGTTTCTCAGCTTTTAAAGAGTTATACATAAGGAGGAAGGACATGGAACAGAGCAGCGAGATATACTGGTTTTTACTTTCCACTGCCCGCTTGCGCAGTCTGATTGTGTTGCAACTCCGAGCGTCAACGGAATAGCATCATGATGCCATAGAGAACATAGCCTGTTCTCTGTTATGTTCACATCTTCTGGTTGTCTTTAAAATTCTCATTAAGATGTATTTTGAAATTATATTCAAATTTGGGGGAACAGACCTGAAGGAAGGTTAAGAATGGAGGAGGGCATTGGAAAGTTAGCCATAAAAAAAAAAAAAAAAAAAACAGAAGGAAACTCTCTTGGAATGCATACGATGTTATGTAATTGCTCTAAAATAAAGACTCTGAAGTGGCTCAGGGCACTGGAACAGTAATGGGAAATGTTAGGAGTTGCTGAATCCAGTATAGAGGTGAGACTGCCCTAACTCCATGCCTCAGGCCCAGCAGGCAGCAAGGCTGAGCACGTGCACACATATGCACGTGCACACAATATATACACAGATACACATATGGCTGGCCACACAGGTCAGCACGGACCGTAAACACTGCACTCACACAAACATTCTTAGCACCAGCGCTGCTCTCCTCTTCCCCTCTCTGGCTGATCAGGGTAAAAGCCTGTTAGTGGAAAATAATATATATACGATGGATCCTTCCAGTAAGTGGTTTTAGACAGTCTGTCTAGTGGTTGGCCTTGGCATCCCCAGGCCCTCCAGTTGCGGGCACCTGCACGCAGGAGCCTCCAATGCGCACAGCCCCACTCCAGTTGCTGGTATACACACAGCCACACACACCCACACCCCGGATCACTCCAGTAAATGGCCTTAGATACTCAAAGTCTGCACAGTAGTTGACCCTGCATCCCCTGGTGTCCCAGGTTCCTCTTGCATAGCGGCACACTTATGCACTGACATAGGCACTCACACAACATGAGCCTACTCCGCTTTCTCCTGTTGCTGGCACCCCAGGTTCATGGGCCCCTATGACCCATGCCCCTTCTCCAGTTGCTGGCACTTAGACCTCCATGTCCACTGCCCTCTCCAGTTGCTGCCCCTGCAGATGCACGGGTGCCTGTTATCTGTGGTCCCTATCCCAACTGCTGGTGCTGAGGCCTCTACCCGCACCCACACACGCAGCATAGAGAGCCCCCTCACTCAGGAGACTGGTTAGAAATGGAGGTTCCGCAGTGATCAGGTGCAGGGCACAGTGCACTGACCAGCTTCCTATTTACATGTGACTGACTCCCTTTAACCCCTTATCTCTCTATTTTCCCATGCTTGTTCCTCCCCAAACCACTTTGATTCCTCCCTTTCCCCACCTTGGGTTCTTCCCCTAAACATCCCAAAATGAGTCTCATACAGTTCCAGAATGCTGTTTCCCAGCATCCTGTGATGAGTCCTGTATCCCTGTAGGCAGGCCCCCCCACCCCCCAGTCTGTGACGTGACCCAGCAAGCCTCTATGGTTGCCTCATCTTGATGGGTCTCAGACGTGGACAAGGGGCTCACCACCCTCCTGTGACAGCCCTGGGAGGAACGTGGTTGGGGTGCTCTTCTCTGATTAGCCTATTGGGGTACCTCCATCTGCCTTAGTTCCTCTGTTCCTTTTTCGCTCATGGAGATGAGCCTTTAATAGTATAACCTAGCAGGAAAGGTAAAAGTTTGTAGGAAGTATTTAGAATGACTTTGTTCATAGGTGCTGCATTAAGTGGTGGACTCGGTAAGACACACATGCAGGTGATGTGAATTTGTTTGCTCGAGGACAGTACAGCTAGCTATCCTGCATGAATATTGTTTTAAAAAGATAATAATCCACATGCCAAATCATCGTGTATTATTGAAACTGATTTTAACAATTGAATTTTTCCTGGTGAAAAAATACTGAGTGTAAATATAAGAAGTCTGTTGACAGGTAATTATATTGTAATTTCTATCCTAGAAATGTATTGAGGATGTGCAGAAGCAATGTAGTTGAAAATAAAATATAACAGTATTTGCAAACACTTATTAAAATTACTTGTAGATGAATAAACAACTGTGACGCTCCTTCAGTTCCCAGCAGTGAGAACATGAAATACCTACAGAAGCATACTTTGTCATTGTTGTATATTGTTGTCCTGCAATTTGGGGGGTGTTGCATCCTGTTTCCAGGCATTCTGTACAATGCGTAGGTAAGAAAAATCTTGTTGCAATTGCCTGAGATATTCAAAAATCAGCTTTTTTATTTAGCCTATTTAATCTCTTTTATTTAATCTTTCAAAATCCACTTTTAATTTCTCAGATCTAACTTGGTATTTAACTAAGCACAAAAAGGTAATATATTGCAACAGTTAATTTTGGCTTTAAATTAGTTTTCTGTGTATGTGCATAGAAATCAACTGAAGATGTCTAGATCTTTCCTCATTCCATCAAAACATGAAGAGCGAAACAATTGCTTCAATGACAGAAAAGTCACTACAGGCTCTAAAGTGTCCATAAAATAGAGAAAATTATGAGGGAATGTTTTGTTTCCTTCCACCTTTAAAAACAAGAGTGATGTGATATTTCTCTCATTCATCAAAAACCTATAAACCTTCATGTTATTGCTGCAACAAGGCTGACTTTCTTATCATAAGATTGTTTAGGAGAAAGCTTTTAACTTGAATTAGTGTTCTTTGTTTTAGGTGTAACAACGAAAATGAATGGTATCAGATCCATGAAAATATTATTCGAAAGTCCAGCACCAAATACACAGCACCCAGCTCAAACTATGGTAAATATGTACTTGAACATTTTTATCGAAATAGCAGCCGAAGACTTCCTTTAGGAAATTGCTAATTAATTATAGCAGAGATATTCAGTGAAACATGAAGTTACGCATAGTTGATTTTTCTATTCACTTGTGATGATTTAAATGTTCTTTAGCTAGAATTCATTCATGTTCAGCTTACAGGTAAAAAATCTGTATTGCATCTGCAAATTTAATCAGGGATTAAAAAAACAAAGTGATATCTTTCTTTCTCAAATACAGTTCACAATAATATTAATTCAGTATGCTAAATTTCCTCTGCCTTTATATCTGTAATGTTATTTTATCTCAAGAGAGCTTTGAGGTAGAGAGAGCTAGTGGCTGCTGTAGTAGTAAGTTGCTCTCTGAGTCTTCATTCTTGGCTGAGGATGCCTATGCTGGTGAAAACTGCTGGCCCACAGGAGGATACCACGTGAGTAGCTATCAGCATCAGCATAACTAGTTTCTTTGTGACACTGTCCATGCTTACTGTGACCATTGCACAGGAAGTGAAGGATGTAAATTTTATTCATCAGAATTTCTGAGTAAATAGTCTTCCTTTTTATCCTGTATTCCCTTGAAAATTCCAGGAATAACGTATATCTAAGGCTTGCTAATCTGAGGATAGTACTTGGCAGTAGAAGCAAAAGCAGATGTTACTCTTGTCTAAGATACTTATCTTGACTGTCCAAAAAATAAGCAATATTTTCTTACCTACAAATAAATTATCAAGAAGACTCTCTATGATAGTTTCAGTACAAAACATTTCTTTATGTAGTTGAGAATTACTGTGTCTTTGCAGCGTTCTTTGCCACCTTCCAAATCCATCTTTATTTTCCTAGTTAACGATAGATGAATTTGGAAAGTAAATTGCCTTCTTTCTTATCCTATTAACTATCCCACTTAATGACTTCTGTAGTTAGCTTCTTTAGAGATATCATTGCTATTCCATTCCAAAGGGTACTAGCTGTTAAGATACAGTTCTGCTTAGTTACAGGTAGTTTTGCTTTGATTACTCAGCGAATATATGATTCAGAAAGGCCTACTGAGATCTGAATACTTGTTTTCTTAATTTCATTTATTTGCATGTCAGATATAATGGAATACCTTCCACAGAAGGTGTTAAAGAACAACAGTAACCAAAAAACAGTTTTCAAGGGGGGAATCTTATTATATGCAAAGCTGATCTCTTCTTCCCTGCTGTTCCTCGTATTACACTCATGATTGATTGTCCAACACTTCTTAAAACATTATCTCAAATTGTTTATAACTTGAAAAACTTGGACTATTTGCACTTATATTTCCTATGTCGAGTGTCTGCCTAACACATTTTCTTTTTTCAGGTGTCCCCTTTTCTGAAGAGCAGAAAGAAAGAGAAATAGATAGCTTTTTACCTTTGTCTTTTGCTTTTAAAATACTTTTTTCAAAAATTTCCTTAAGATCTAGTGAATGTCTGGAACAGGGACTTGAAACCTGGCAGGGTTTGTTGTCCTGGTGTGAGGGACAGTATTGCGGGCTGCCATGATTTTAGCCTACGTAATGCAAACTGGGCCTCTTAGAACCTGCTCCTCCAATGAGGAAATGTTCTTGCAAATGTCATTTCTCCCTGAAGGAAAGCTCTCTGGCTGTTTCTGCCCCCACCTTCCCTGCTCTGGAGAAGATTTGTCCCTACTTAGTTCCTTCTAGTTCCTGTTGTTTGGCGGGGATGTGTGGGAATTGCATGGAAGTAATATCTGTATATCATGCTGGAAGATTGCGTATTCCCTTACCTCTAGTGATTGATTTGTATAGGTAATAGATTAATTCTGGTACTATTTGTTCAAGTACTGGTGGTGTTAGGTGTGGACCCGAAACCTAAGGGTCTGAACTCCCAACTTGATGATCCAAGTTAGAATTTGCTACAGTTCTTTAGGGTGTAATATTTGGGATGTATTTTGATTTGTTTTTAAATGGAGAAGAGGGTATAACATGAACAAATTTTTCTTTAGGCAGTAAAAACGGTCAAGAATTTTTTCTAACGCATTTGTCTCCTGTGTTCTCTCAAAGCCTTCTGCAGCACACACGCAAGTGCGCACATACTCAGAGAGTATTCAAAGGAATTGGATTTTTTTCCCCCTGTTCCTAAAGCCCCTGTATTCTCTGCAGTGCTCTGCAGCACTCTGCTACCTTCTTAGCTGGACAGCTGCAAAACAGTGTTTTGGCAGCTTTTGAGTACAAACATGCTGGTCATCCAGCTGGCTGATTGGCCTGCCTTTCCCTTAGTATTAAATCCTTACGATCTTCTTTTGATCCTAACTGGTATCCGTAAAACTTGTAGGAGCTTCATGTTTTCTAGACATCTACTTGTCCAATTTGGCTAAACAACAGGTTTGAGAACTACTTCAAGGAAGAGGAGCAGAGACTGGGTGGGAGGTGCATGATATCATTAGTTTCATTTCACTAAAAACTAGTGTAACAAAACAATGACCAAGTATTGTTCGCAAACCCAATAAATTGTTCTTAGGAAATAGCGTAACTTCAGATGGCTAATAACCAGTTGGATCTCCTGAAACATTTTGAGGTATATGAAGCAGGTAAAGAAACAAATGCAACAGATAATCTTTGAGATTATTTTACGGTATTAGATGGGATTAAAGGCACTATGGAGAAGTTCTGCAATGTTTTGTGATGTGGTAGTTCAGATAAAGGGGCATTACTGTTACATGTGTTGTAACCTGCTGTATAGGAGGAATAGAAAAAATATACTGTAACTTGTGACATCTCTGCAAAATTAAGTATTCTGATACAAATGTGCAGTCTCATGTAACGTTATGCTCCTAGCTTAAAGTCTCTTTAAGTGGATTTGTTTCTTCCATGTCACGTTCAAATGACAGTTACTCCAAAGGAGAAAAGAACTCTGTGTATGCGTATTTGTATTAATTTATCCATGAGGCAAAGCAGTATTTCGCCTGCATGCCTGGCATACATTGGTGTTTAATTCTTAGGTCCTAGAAAAATGAACTTTTTTTTTTCCTAGGGCTTATAATATCTCTGCAACTTCTTCGTGGTGACATGGAGCAGATTCGAAGGGAAAACCCTATGATCTTCAACCGAGGGGTTTCTGTTACCAGGAAGCTGGGGTTTCCCGATGTCATAATGCCAGGTTAGCATAACAGCTAAAATCATAGTGTTGATCATGTTTTTCATGGGCAGTCCTAGATAAACATAATTGGGAAGGGTGTTTTGCTCTAAGAAGATTAATACTGTAAGAGTTGCCTTGTTTGTCACCAAATGCCAATTCCAGATTCAGGGAGGCATGGTAGTGGATAATAAAAAACATTTTTGTTGAAATTAAACATTATAGTAATATAAGGGGTTAAATTCACACGTATAATAGCTGATTTTGAAAGATGCCCTTAATTTTTTTTTCCAGTTATATATCCCTCATGTGCACTAAGCACAGAGATATTTCTTTTAGAAAGTATGAGATTATGAAGTTCCTTCTTCCCAATTATCCAAAGCCTACAAAAAAGTTTCCACCTTACCACACTGATTTTTGGAGTTAATATGATCCTTTTGCATTGGTTGACATTGGCTGCAGAAAAGGCTGCAGATCTGGTCTGCTTTTTCCAGCTGGCCTTACAGAGCACCTAGTCCCTGCAACCGTCTTGACTGAAACGTTGCTGTACTCTGCTCCTTACTTCTGGAGCAGGGGCTTGAGATGGTTGTCGTTTTGGCACAAATTGAGGTAGGCCCAGCGCAGCCATGAGTTGATTTAGGGAAGAAACTGGAACCTAGCCAGTCATGTAATCAATAGATATAAAAACTGGCATTTTACAATCTGATTTTTACAATGTAGTAAGAAAGGGGCTTACTAATTATATTGCATGTACAGCATTTGAAATACTACTTCACTGCTGTGCGTTATGACCAAAACCAAGGATGACTTTGCAGACATGGGAAATTTTATGAAAG